GATTTTTGTACACGCATTAACAATTGTAGTGTTAAAAAAACTCAACCATAACCACTGTTGTTGGTAATATGCTTTCTTTTTTTAAAGAAATAAAAAAGGCCTTAAACATAAATGAGGCAGGGCAAAATACCTTTAGCATGAATAGGCCTCACGTTCAGGACAGTGCCAGTAATTTTCTTGCAATAAAAATTATAGCTTTGCAGCTGAGGAACAACTACAAAAAAAACTTCTAGTAAGAGCACAACACTATTTTAATTGAATAGGCTTCAAATTCAGAGGCATGGCAGACGTTTTCTTGCAATAAAAGAAGGAGGGGTGTCAGTAGGTGGTCAGGCTGCCAGTAACTGAATATTGAAATTTAACTAGCATTACAACCTTAAAAATTGATTTTGTGCCATCCGCAGCAGCTGAAATGAAGTCTTCTGCAATCCAGCCTTATTTATTTTGATAAATGTCAGCCAGCTAATGCTGTCTATGGACAGACAGAAGCACTTCTCTGTGACAAGTCTTCCTACTGTACTGAAAGCCCACTTGGATAGCCTACTTGCAGCAGGGCAGGACAGTGTTTCCAAAGTATGTTAGGCAAGCTCATACCAGGGGTCCATTCTGGACACCCAGAAGTACATGGAGCTTTCCCCTCTTGTTAGTCTATGTGTCCATTCACACATAGGCTTTTAGATGAGTTTAGAGGTAGAAAAAAAAAAAACAGCCAGTTAGTCGAGCAGTGGTATTTTGGCAGAAAAAACACTTGATGCCCATAAACACACCTAAATATGTCTTAACATGCCTAAGCACTAGGTGCATTTAGTGCTTGAGCGTTAATTCATTTCAACGGCTAGAATAAATTATTATTTTAGCAAATGAAATAATTTTTTGCCCAAGTGCTTGACATGCCTAGATGTGCCTAAACATGTTACACACTTTTACAAGCTTTAAGAGTTTTCTCTGCCAAAACGTTGCTGTCAGCAGCATAGGCTTCTGGGAGAGTTGTAAAAACAACCTGTGTGAATGAGAAGTTAGCATTTGGCACCGGCAGCTATGTCTGGGCTCTGTGACTTGAAAACTCAATGCAAAGCCATACCAAGGCTGCTGCTCTTGCCAATCCTTAGGTGAATGCCAGCAGCAGAGAAATGTTGCTTAGCAGAGGGGTCCAAGCCCACGTTGGGAAATATGGCAAAGAGGCATTGTCAAAGCACCTCTTTAAAATGATGCAGTTTATGCTCCCTTTAGGATGGCAGCAGCCTGGCCGCTTTGTTCTTCTACCTGGGATCCAATAATATGGATACCTAACAGTGGTCGTTCTTAATCACCTGAATGCATGGGTCCTAGCATAGGCATTGAAAAATGAAGGACTTCAACCTCCAGGACAACTTTGCCCTCCAACTGCTCACCCCTTTTGCAGAGTCAATTCACTAAGAGATAAAGACTGCATGAAATTTTACACTAAAATAACTCATGCAGTATTTCACTCATAAGCAAGAAATTACTTCTTTTTTTTTGTGATACTTAGTGCATATTTCACACCTTATTTTACTGCAGACTGGACCTCCGGATGCAGGAGGAAGTGAAACATTTAGTAGCAGTATAAGTAACATTGTTAAGTACGACAGCTCCAGCTCAGAGAAGCCAGTTTGTCAGGGAGCTGGCACTCATCAGCTTCCTATTAACTAGTGACTGCCCTACTCATTCAGCTGCCTGGCTAACAGGTGAATGTAAGCAAAGGGGTTGGGACAGTGTTTAAAGTACCCCTTACTCATTTACATGGAGGGGGGCAGTATCTAGGGGCCTCCTTATTGTTAAAGGGGGTTTCCTGATTCCAATAAGCTCCACCCACTCACAGAACCCTGTGACAAAAGCAGTGCCTGACCCCTGCCATTCTCACCAACTCGTGACAAAGAACTGGCCAATCTCACATTGTACTGTCACTTACCTAGCTATGCCACCCTCAGCTGCACCCTGCAGAAAGATTTTCCTGGCTTCCTGACCACAATATAGGTGCCAGCAGCCTGAGAGCGCTTTGTTTTTACCAAGAAGGAGGAAACTCACAATCTTATAAATAACAACTATGATTTTAGGATAAACAACTGTAACACGCACTGTCACCACAGACAGGTATGTTCAGAGATTTATACTACAGTAGCAATAGCTTTTTCTCTGACATCTAGGGGGTGATGTCAGAGGCCATCTGATCTATTAAGTGGTTGAGGAGTGGCCATGGGGTTATCACCATGTTTATGACTGTATCTTGGCCCTCCCTTACACACAGTTTTATACTACTAATAATATATTCCAATATGCACAGATTGCATTCTGAAACCTGGTAGATTACTGTTCAGCATTATATTTTGTGTCCAGGAATACCAAACACAGAGTATATCGGATGGGCCTGTCACTCAGGAGATAGAAGACTGATTTTTTCCTTTTCTAATGTGCTAGCTTAGTTAAGTATAATCTCAATTTGTTCGGTATGGTATTCTTCATTCAAATATATACTTATTATTGATGTGTCTTGGTCCTGTCTGATTTTTGAAATGAATTGTGTGTAGTTTTTTAAATGTTGAGTTGGGCAGGGCAGAGGGTCTCCAAAATGTCACTGCAAGCCTGACTGCTTTACGATCCCCATTCTATGGCACGCTATGTGTTCCTGGTGCTTTAATTGCCTTACAACCCATGGGTGATAGAACTGAAGGATTTTGTCATAGTTTTACAATAGGTCAGAGGAAGTGTTGATCTGTAGATTTTTTATGCTCAGCAGAAATTAAGACATTCTGCCAGAACTCAGCTATTTACAGCCCTGTGTCTGTGTGCTGGTCTCTGCTGTCCCTAAGTAGAGATAATAGGCTCTTTGAAGTGTGTTAAAAGGGAGGGGGCAAGGTCACTGTCCTATGCTTCTTCCCATGACAAAATGGCTGAGACCTGAACAAAATGGATATTGCATACAGCTTTCATTTGCCTAATGCGCACAACCATTACAAGCCCTATAACCACCCGGCTAGGGTTTTGGGGAAGATGCCCTTGTCCTCTACAACATTGGGACAAGGTGCTTTGCCAGGGGGGTCCGCCCTGGTAAGGTAGCCCCTCGTATTCAGAGCATGTGGTTTGATATGGTTCATGAAGGAGGGCACCTGTTCCTCCCTCTTTCTTTTCTAGCCTGCCAGGCTGCATGCTCAGATAAGGGTCTGGTAAGGAATTTGAGAGGATCTCACATTGACAGGAACATCTTCATTAGAGGCAGCGGCAGTGGGCTATAAGTTGGAGGTAGCAGAGGTAGCTGCTGTAAAGAAACTGAGAAGCAGACACTGGGAAGAAGTGAAGATAAATCTCCTAAACTGGAACAAAGACAGCAAAATATAGTCTAGAAAGAGGTTCTTAACTTTCCTAAGTCTACTTGAAAATATATTTTTTTCTACACTTTTACTAAGTTCTGTTCAAGTCTAAATAATATTTTGAAGCACTGTGAAGTAATTCATATTCAAGGCTCATAGCATAAAAATATAGGTGGTTTTAGTATATTTTTCAGCAGCTCAGCTCCCTCTGTTCCTCCTATCAACAGTGTTTTGGCAGCAAGCTCGGACTGGCCATAGGGCACCCCAAGCATTTGCCCAGTGGGCTGGGGCTGTTGAGTTGCATGTTCTGATGGAGAGTCTCAGTCTGGTGGTGGTGGGAACAGGGCAGCTAAGGCCTCAGATCCCCTGTATCTAAATCCGGCGTCCCAAGGGTGCGGGCAGACTGAAAGTGCCTTGCTCCGCATAACCTGTGTACATAGCGGATGGGCGGCCCTGGAGACAGAAGCTGCAGGGAAGGTGGGCAGCGAGGGTGGCTAGGACCAAGAGCCCTGAAGGGAGAAGACCTGACCCCCAAGGAGCTGAGCAGCAGTGGGCACCACATTCCCAGCACCCTACAGAGCCTGGACTCATTCTCCAATCTCCTCTGTGCTCCGCGACGGCAGACTGACTGGGGGCCTGGAGGATGAGGACTAACAGACGGCACAAGCAGCCAGGGACCACTACCCAGGTCAGTCTGTCTATACAGCTACTGCTGGCATGGAAGTTACCGGGCATCACACACATGACACACCTACCTACAGAAGGGACAGCAGATAGTGACAGGGTCAGTGGTCTCTAATACCCCCCTCTCTCATCCCCCCTCTCTCCCTCATTCCCCCTCTCTCTCCCATATTCCCCCTCTCTCTCCTTCATCCCCCTTTCTCTCTTATCCCCTCTCTCCTCCACCCTTATCCTCCCTCTCCCCCCTCTCTACCCCCTCTCTCTCATCGCCCCCTATCTCTCTCTCTCTCCCTCTCCCCCTCTCTCATCCCCCTCTCCCTCTCTCTCTCTCCCACCCCCTCTCATCCCCCACTCCCTGCATCTCCCCCTTTCTCTCTCATCCCCCCTCTCTCTCTCATCCCCCCCTCTATCTCATTCTCCTACCCTCCTCTCTCACTCATCCCCCTCTCTACCATTACCCCTCTCTCTCACTCATCCCCCTTCTCTATCATCTGCTCTCTCCCCCGCCATCATCCTCCCTCTCTCTCTCATTCCCCCTCTCATGTTCTCTCCCTCTCTCTATCCCTCACCACCCATCTCTCACCCCCACTCTCTTTCCCCCCATCCCCCCTCTCTCTGTACCCTTAAGTTGAAGTTGTTACACTGAGATTTGGTGTTGGGATAAGATTGGGGTTATATGATGTTGTTGGTTAGATTCAATTTTTGATTTACAGCTATTCTGAGACAAAAGGTAAGCATTAGGTTGAAGTCAATGATTATGTTTAGTGGTGATGCAAGGTTCTACATTGGGTAAGTTACTTAGTTTTTCAGCTGCAATAAATTGGGTTTTGGAGTGTAATAAATTAGGCGTATGGTGTAAATGTTGCATGCTGCTTGAAATTCATTTTAAGAGGACAAAATCTAATGTACTAGCCCAAGTACACCTAGATAACCATTAGGCACACTAGGCACATGCCTGCAGGTGCCACAAGTTATATAAATAATACCCTATACCCAGGGGCGGACTGACCATTGGGGAACTCGGGCACTGCCCGAGGGCCCGGGGTCAGTAGGGGGCCCCATGAGATGTCCCTGGTACCTTTCATAGGCTTTTTTGGGTGTGGTTTGAGTGTGGGCAAGGACACAGGGGCCCCATGATCCCCTATTGCCCGGGGGCCCCATGAGTTGTCAGTCTGCCCCTGCCTATACCTGATATTCTCACATGTTGAAACAACCCTTTATCCGTGTCCTCTCCCATGCTCTGGTCACTGCCATTTTGTTACTGAACAATAAAGTTAAAGTTTAATCTGCCTATATTTTGCCCATTCTGGTTTCTCCCCTTCCCCCTTCATTAACATGCTGATTTAATTTTAAATAAAACCTTTCTGTTTTTCATTATTTACATTATTTTAGATCCAGTGATGTCATCTGTGATGGGTCTCTGCGCTTCACTATGCTCTGCAGGCAGATCATGGCTGAAAGCATTGGCAAGGAAGGTGCTGAAATGCTTTCAGGAGGCTATATAAATCACCATGCTGGCCCATCCCATCAGTACTACAAACAGTGAGCTTGCTCTTGGAAGGAGTTGCGTAAATATAAAAATGACAGAATGTAAGGGTGCCAGCCTTGCCACCTGCCACTCAGTGTCTGCCTCCTAAGTGCTATCATGTAAAGTCAGCCCCATTGTACAGACCTTAGTATGTTGTAGGTAGCTACCTAGCAATCTCCTGTCCCCTCTGCCTTGCAGTCTTAGAGTGGTAGTAACCTCTCATTTCTATTTTTACCTACAGGTAAGCGTATAATAAAGCTGACTTGTAGGTAAAATGAATATCTCCTAAACCTGCACCATTTAGGAGATATTCTACAGAGCAGCAGCTGGTGATGTTCCTCTAGAGCAGTGGTTCTCAACCTTCCTAATGCCGCGACCCTTTAATACAGTTCCTCATGTTGTGGTGACCCCCAACCATAAATTATTTTCGTTGCTACTTCATAACTGTAATTTTGCAGTGGGAGGAGTAGTGCCACATCATTGGTGTCAGTGAGAGGAGTAGTGCCACATCACTGATGTCAGTGGGAGGAATAGTGCCCCATCATTGGTGTCAGTGGGAGGAATAGTGCCCCATCATTGGTATTAGTGACACCAATGATGGGGCACTATTCCTCCTACTGACACCAATGATGCTGACTCCTGCTCCAGCCTGGGCTTGCTCCCTCCCTCTCCCATCTACAGCCAGCATACCTGGCTGCAGCAGCACCATCTGCACGCTACAGACACTTACCTGTCAGCTGTCTTCCTTCTCCGGCCGCTCCCTTGCTCAATCTTCTTTGATCTTCTCACTGCTGCTCGGCTCCTCCTCCTCGCCGGTGATTGGCCGCCTGTGTGCCTCTCCTGAGCTACAGTTCCGGCGGCCAATCACTGGCGGCGAGGAGGCGGTGCTGTTGAGTGATCCCGGGGATGTAGCCAGATGACAGGGGCGGCATGTCATCCCGCGCACACATTGCGTCCAGGGAAATGTGGACGTATCTGCATGTGGGCGGACCCGCCTGGAGACTGATATAGGAGCGGTGTCTCGGTTCTTAAAACCATCGGAAATATGTGTTTTCCGATGGTCTTAGGAGACCCCTGTGAAAGGGTTGTTCGACCCGCAAAGGGGTCGCGACCCACAGGTTGAGAACCGCTGCTCTAGAGCTGTGTGCCATAGCTGAAACTCCTGCGCATGTGCGTGAAGTCATCGGTGGCTCAGCCATTCAAGCAGCTGCAGCCTGGGAATGGGAGAGGAGGGGTATGGGGGGAAGAGAGAGAGGGGGGATGAGAGGGGGGGAATGAGGGAGAGGGAGGGGCGTGGGGTGTTCAGAGAGAGGGGGGATGGGGGGGAAAGAGAGTGGGGGTGAGAGAGGGGTGATCACTACGGTTGAAAATGTACACTGATTTGACCCCACAAACGATTAGGATATCGAACGAACGTTCATAAAAAAAGGAAAATTTCAAATGAAGTTGCACTATTCTATAGTCAAGTTTACTTTCTCTTGCCAGGCTACATTTTTTAAAATTTGATCTCAGCCTTGCTTAATAGGGATTGTATGTTTTAAAAGGTTGATAAAATCTTTATACTGGTTTTGGATGGATATGTTGGTGTGTGTGTGTATTGCACCCATTTTTGTCTCTTTGGTATACCTGTGGATGATTTTAAAATAAAATTTGAAAAGATAAATATTCCTATGAAGCACACATATGTTTATTATGTCACCTTCACATTCCAGTACAGTTTGCAAAGTATCATGCACAACAGATGTATCTGACGGGCCACCTAGTGGTTTCATAGTGTATCTTCAAACGAACCTATTTAATACTAGTTTCAGTGCTTGTTGTCTTTTCCATTTACAGAACTTTTCTATTTTTTAGGCCTCATTTAGACTTGTGTTTGGTGGACAAGTCAATAGGGAAGTGCGGCAAATGCACCTGCAAAGCACAGAGTTGCGGCATAATTGTTGGCAAAAATGGGGTCAAAACAGGCGGTGAGGCAGTGCTGCACCGCTACCTCACCGCCTGTCAGTAGACAGTGCAATCCGAAATTAGATAATTGAAAATTAGATAACTGAAAGGTAAAGGGTCTTTGCCCATTAACCACTTGAGCTCCAGAGGATTTACCCCCCTTAATGACCAGGCCTCTTTTTGCTACTCGGCGCTGCACTAATTCAACTGATAATTGCGCGGTCATGCAATGCTGCACCCAAACGAAATTTACGGCCTTTTTTTCACACAAATAGAGCTTTCTTTCGGTGGTATTTGATCACCTGTGCGCTTTTTATTTTTCATGCTCTAAACAAAAAAAGGCCAAAAATTTTGAAGAAAAACAATATTTTTTACTTTCAGCTATAAAAAATATATAGTAAATTCAAAGTTGGTTATAAATTTAGGCCAAAATGTATTCTGCTACATGTTTTTGGTAAAAAAAATCCCAATAAGTGTATATTGATTGCTTTGTGTGGAAGTTATAGCGTCTACAAACTATGGTATAAATGCTGCAATTTACACCATTTTTCTGCTATACAGCGCTGCGCTAGTTTAACGGACAATTGCGCGGTCATGCAATATGGTACATAAATGAAATTTACATCCTTTTTTTCCCCACAAATTGAGCTTTCTTTTGTATTTGATCGCCTGTGCAGTTTTTATTTTTTGCGCTATAAAAAAAAAGGCTGACAATTTTGAGGAAAAAAAAACAATATTTTGGACTTTTTGCTATAAAACATGTCCAGTAGAAAAAAAAATGCAAAAAATCAAATTTAGTCATAAATTTCTGCCAAAATGCATTCTGTGACATGTCTTTGCTAAAAAAAAAAAAAAACCCAATACGTGTAAATTAATTGGTTTACGTGAAAGTTATAGCGTTTACAAATGGCGGGAAAGATACTGGGATTTTTAGGTTTTTTTTTTATACTAATAATGGCGGCGATCAGCGAATTATGGTGGGAGGGACTTATGGCAGTGACCAGCGACTTATGGCGGGACTGCGGGACTACGGAGGACATTCTGACATTGGGGGGTACTGACTTGGGGTCACTGACATCCCCAAAAACACTAATACAGTGATCAGTGCAAAAAAAAAAAAAACACTGACACTGTACTAATGGCAATGGGGAGGAAGGGGTTAACTTTATTTTGCAGGGAAGGGTTATAGGAGTGAGGGGAGTGTTTTACTAGGGGGCGGGGGTGTGTACTGGACGGGACAAGGCTGATCGAGAAAGAGAAACTGTTCTTTCTTGATCAGCTCATCCTCGAGCTGACAGGGAAGTGACAGACAGCACAGCTACTGCAGCTGTGCTCTCTGTCACTGTTTGCCGCCGATCGCCGGGACATAGCCGCTAAGGAGCGGCTGTGACCCGGCGACTGACATCTGCGGTGGTGATCCGCGGGACAGATAGGGCGGCGGCGCGCCTCGCACGCGCCCCCTATTTGTTTACAAAACACATGTTTTAAAACGTGGTTTTGCCTGCGAGTGCCGCCCTGCCGCCGTATATGTACAGTGGCTGGGCGGCATGTAGTTAAAGACAGCTTCACCTCTGCAACCATGTTACATGTTCCACTTGTATTTAAGGTACTTGTATTTAAGGTGGAACATGTAACATGTTTGAGCACCTGCCTTCTCTCTCCCCTATCTCCCCTCCCTGTGACAGTAGACAGGGGACCTTCTCCACGCACCTGCTGTCACTATTTAAAAACAGTGCAGTCATGAAGGGCTCCATCGACATGGCTGCATCATTCATTCACAGCGTTCTGTGAATGAACTATAAGTACCATCAGCGTTCTGTGAATGAACTATGTACCATCAGCATTATGGCTGCCAGCATGTATTTCTCAATGAACTGTGGGGGAGCCAGTGAGCTCTCTCGTAGTTCATTGATTCTTTCTGCAATTCAGTAACTGCCGGAGCCTGGCATTGCACCCACGATCTGCTGTTCACAGGTGCAATGCTTTACAAGCTACAGTTTTTAAAAAAATAATACATTTTTTTTATACCTGCAAAAAGATGTGAATTTATTATTTTTTTTATAAAGGTGCACTTATCCTTTAACCACTTGACAGCCGCTCTATAGCCGAATGACAGCTACAGCGCAGTTGTCCAGTTCTGGGAGGGTGTCATGTGACGTCCTCCCAGAACACGCCCTCCCACACGGTCCCAGCGGTGCGCACCTGGTGATCTCCATGATCGCTGTGTCCTATGGACACAGCTGATCATGTGATGTGGTAAAAGGTCAATCACAGCAGCTTTTTACCATGTGATCAGCTGTGTCCAATGACACAGCAGATCACCGGGTAAATACAGTTGCTGGTTATTGGCAGCACTTTCCTCATGCTGTCACAGCGTGAAGAAAATACTGCCGATAACCGGCAATTGTCAGAGAACAGATCAGCACTGATCATCAAGTGCAACAGCGCTAAAAGCTGAAAATTGGCCTGGGCAGGAAGGGGGTATAAATGCCCGATAGGCAAATGGTTAAACAAAGGGATTTTGATCATTTGTCGTTCCCTCATCAAGTCTTTGTAATCTGCTTTTAGTAGCAATACAATGAGGGTATGT